GTCAAAATGGAAGAAAGTGCTTCTGAAACTGAGTGTGAAAAAAAGGACTCAGAATACCATGTACCTACATCATCTCTGGAAATCAAACTAAGTCTAAAGGATCCAAAAAGATCATCCTTCTAATTTGGTAATTGGTGGGTTGAACGAGAAGGTAACAAGAAGGGCCAAGACTGGTCTTATATAATTAATGGGAATTTCACATGTTGTCAGTTATACCCTTTATTAGAACCAAAGTGCGAAAGAATGCAAAAATGCAACATTTATCCGAGACACGTATATAATTTGAATTTGAAAAAGAAACCTCACCTTGAACTGTAGCTCGTGAAATGACTTTGAAAAATGTTCGAATGGATCTATCGTGCAACGACGTTGTCCTGCAATAAAATGTAATACTTGGCTTAATACACCTCAATTCGCTATAAAAGACTTATTGGATATATAAAATTTAGTGTAAATATAGCTAAGATATATAATAAAAAGTTAGGATCGAGGCTTGATGATCATGAGGATCAAGGTTCGGTAGTCGAGTTAAAGCTCCTTTCAAATGTCTATTGCAAAAACCGTTGCGCATGACCACTCTCTTTTCTAAAATTACTTTGCTTCTTCTCAGAAACTAATAAAACAAATATCGTGTCAGAAAATAAATTCTGGCTTTACGATATTAACTTCTTTTTACCATATCTATCACCTTCTCAATTTTTATTTTCAAAACTATGTTTAATATATAAAACAAAACCAGTCACATAATAAAAAAGCTTTCTCTTCATAAAACAAAACAAGCGCCAAACATTGAATAATAATCATTTATTTTTCAGCATATTCTTTCCGCAACAAAAACTATAAATTAACCATTACACAACTAGAAAAAATAACAAATTAAAAACATACTTACACATTTAAAAACTACATCAGAACCAAAAATATACCAAAAAATATCTATTTAGCTAGACATATAAATTGTGTAAATTAAAAAACACTACTAATAATCCACTCTACAACTAAAAAATATAAATCAAATCAAAAGTTACAAGATGAAAAGCCCCAAACCAGAAACGCAAATTTGAGATCTATAAAAACCTCGATCCGACTGGTAGTGGTTTTGAAAATCCTTATTTATAAGAATTCACCTGAAGATGATAGATATGAATGGCTCGAGTTTGAGGCCCTCGACCCTTAGACCATTACTGCTTAAAAAACCATAGATAAACATCAAATTAACACTCAAACAACTATTTGAAAAACTCAAAAAACTATTTTAATTTTTTTTTGAGAAATTAACACATGTAAATTAACAAGCAAAATAATAGCAAAATTGTTATAGGAGCCATCGAAAAAATCAGAAACGCAATTCGTCACTTTTTCCTACCTTCGAAACCCCATTTTCACCCCACCTCAGACCGACCGGTCTCCCTCTCCGGAATCGAGGCCATACTTCTCGCCGTCTATTCGGCTGATACCAAGGCCCGCAACAGGAAGCCGTATTTGCGTCCCTGATCTCTTTGTCGCCTCCTCTAGAGCCGCAGATGACGGTTAAGTACACCAAGCGGGCATAGTCGGCGTTGTTCTCGATTGCTATTACAAGCAGATCTGGAGAATGGGGATGAATTTGACCATGAAATTTTGGTTCTTTGTTGTTACTAGAGTTCTGGCTCTGGATTTAGAGAAAAGAAAATGGATAAATAAGGAAAGAAGAGAAACGAGATGGGAAGAAAGTGGGAGGAAAAGGGAGAGAGAAGAAAAAAATTAATACCTTTCTACATTTCTATTTTCCGCTCCTTTTACTCGTAATTCTGAATTAAGAAACGTTAAATAGGGTTAAATTTTTTGAACTCGTTTAATGGGTAATTAAGGGAAATATATGCGTGCAGGGGGTCTCCCCGAAAGGGGAGACTACTTACTCCAAAGGAGTGGAGACCTATTCCAACTAGTGGAGATGAACACACTAAAACTAACTAAACACACACTTAATCTAACTATAAACTACTACCTCCCCTATTAAGAGAAGAGAAAAACTCGATTGGTATGAAAATATCCATAGCTAAAATATTTAATGCACGAACATAATATAATTACATGTTAAAGAGACAACCTTACAACACCCACACGATTTTCTCCTTCAGATGCACGATCAAAGTAGGTAACAACTTTGATAAGAATCATTCGTTCTTCAACCTTCTCTGGAGTACGAATTACTCGACGTTCAGTACCCATTGAAAGAGTATTCAATGGTGCAAAAATGCATAGAACCTGTAACAATAAGAAATGATTTTGGTTTAAATGATATTCTCTATCATATGTGGGAGAGCCAAAAGGACGACATTAAACACACCTCAAACTCATCCATTACAATTCATCAGCTTCCTCCTTCAGCCAATCGAATCGAGAACAGTATCATTCTCCAAGATTTGCCTCACCTTCTCGTTAAAACAATAAGTATCATCACTAGTACAGCCTTCCTTTTTAAGAATCGTAAGAATGTCCCTAAAAAGGTTCTCAAGGTGATCTTCATCATTCAGTTTGCCTTGTAGTCTGGAATACATCATCATATGACGTGGACTCTACAAACAAGTGCATTTTTTCAGCAATAAATTCAGATCCGTTGTGATGCCTCTCTAAATAGTAATTAGGTAAAAATATTATCTGACTAAGCTGAATTTATTAGAGAACAGAAGGTAAGAAGGAAAACCACAAGAATTCATAACAAGAACTCCAAAATTGATGGCAGGAGATTGATCTGAATAACCAGCATTTATTTACAAACAAAGATTTAACTATGGAAAAAAAAAATTACAATTGACACATAAGCGTGTAAAAGGGTAGGCAGTTTTCTTTCAGATTTGAATCCAGAATAGTCCTTCATTCAAAACACTAATCAATAGGATTATCTTTCAAAAATCCGAAAAGACTTAAAAGGTGTCTGATCGTTCTGACATCATTATTCTGATAAAAATTTAAATCGCCATTCAAAAAGAGGACGCTTATTAACATTCCATAAAATAATTGCAGTTGTTTTTAATGCGCTAACATAAGTTAATTAGGGTACCACTAACAAGCGGAAACGAAAATAAGACATATACCATGAGAGTCTTTTGGATGGGAGTTTCATCAACCTGCAAAAAGAATCATTAAAATATGTAAAGCAGCAGCAAAAACAACAGACAATCGACAAGAAAAATAATCCATATGGGTTTCATCATTACAATATTATGTACGCCAAAGAAGTGTAAGTCATCATTATACTAGTATTCAAAAGTGTAGGTGTCATCTTCGTAGTCTTCCGAAGTGTCATGTCATCTTCATAGACTTCATCATCGTTAATGGCATCCAAATTCTGGACTTTTTTGTACAAAATCCCACCCGCTTCGTCAGCGGTGTCAATGACATCAATAGACCTCTTCAAAGACTTTAGAACACCAAAATTCATGACCTCACCCTCTGCATCCATCATCTTTGTTTCCATCTCTTTCCCTTTTCACAAATTTAAGGTCAAATTAGATGAATACTACTCAGCAAAACAAATTGAATTGGGCAACAAAGAAAATTTGTGAACCATACACATCCATCAACAAGTCCACGAACCATTACAAAATGTAAATAAACTACCATAAAGGCAACAACCATTTAGCAAGTCCATCAACAAGCTCGAATCTAAACACATAAAACACAAAGTCATACGAACTTTAAAGCTTACGTGTCCACCAACCATGAAATAGAATCAAAATACATCAAAGAAATTCAAAGGCACCACACAAAATATTCAAAGCCAAAAAGTTCATAAATCATTACCTGAATGTATCGCCGGAATGAAGCCGCCTCGCCGCCGCCGCTAGGGTTTTTTTGACTGGGAATTTAGGATTTGGGAACAGTTGGGAGATTACATATTAGGTTTTGCACTCTTTGCTTTTTTGAAATTGCCCGTCCAACTCTGTATTACAAAATCGAAAATTAGAAATGGTAGCTAACAGACCTAAAGGCGGTGGCCGGCCCATTGGTGCAGGCACGTTTTGACAAGAGTCTTGCGGGCATGGCATGTCTCACAGAACATCAGCACCGCCCACAACCCATCTTAAAGTTGAGGCCCATATTAGTGGGTCAAACCAGCTTTAAATAGGGTAAACTCAAAATTATCTAGCCCACTACGAAATATCTTTTTTATTACATTTTTACACTTTATATATTTTAATAATTAGCAAAATCACTAAATCTATCATATTTAATTGCATATATACTAGATGTCAAATTTAGTAATATTTATATTTCACAAATATTTGATCATGTGCACATGCACATATACAAATAATTTTTTTATATATTATATGTGTATGTATGTAATGTTTAAAATTATAAGTTATATAATGAACATACCACATTTTATAGTTTATCATTACTAAAAAATAAACGACATAAATATAAACTACTAACTTACATATTAATCTTTATATTGATCGCAATTATACAATTTTGGCAAACTTAGCATATTATGACAAATTAATTAGATAAAAAATATTGAATTTATTATTATAGCAAGTTTGTATGAAATTTTATGGGTTTGGTCATGCCATATAAAATTAGTTAACTAATCTAATAAAATATTTATGGGTTTGTTAAATGTGCCCAGTTTTATACACAGACTTGATTACAACATTTTTAAAAATTAGTATTTTTAATGTTAAGCTTGCGGTTCAAACATGGTAACAAAATATTCTTCCTCTCTCTTTCTTGATCATCTTTCCAAGTATGTCGATTTTATCTCCATGCACACGTCCAAGTATCTACAAAATACAACCAAGATCACACAATCTTTTTCAATCTACACATTATATAAATAAAACCTTCCAATATATAAATATATATGCATAGGTAATTAAATAAATAAAAGAAAATCTTCCATTTGAAATCATTTTGCTTGCATGACTATCTTCAAGTTTTAATTTTTCTGTAATATCAGCGGCAATTTGAATACAGTAACTCTATATAAATTTCTATATTTTTGTGATTAGGAAAGCGGTATAAGTAAAAGGGTGAGGACAAGCATTGAGGTCTTCTCTGCTGATGGCAACAATTTTGACGATGGGCTCGGTAATTGAGAACTTGAGATCGCTATAATAACATAATTTACATAAATTAGGGAGACGATGTGTGTTTTGAACATGAATTATGTACTCTACACTTATCTACTTGTCTGTCTGAAAGGCTAATAATAATCACAAAATGATTCTGTGAAGGGACTGCAGTGATTCCCCATAATTCGATACTCTTAAACGGCTGCTAATACTCATTTATTCTCTTTCGAGCATCAGATGTTTTGTTGTCCGGTGTTGGTGAAGACCTATTGTCGGAGATCCTTGTTAGACTCCCGAATTGTCGATCTGCCATTCAGTTGAGCTCTGTTTGTCGGCGTTGGCATTCATTGATCTCTCAACCCCAATTCATCCCTAGCTTCATACGCCTCCATCAAGATCGAGATCAATCCTACACCATTCTTTTCCGCATGAATTATCGTTTTTGGGAAGAGACCTCGGGCTATTATCAATTGGTTTGCACTCTTTTCTCGGAGGAATCTTTGCTTATCCACGAAAAGCACGCATTATTATCATCGTCTAACTATCTCGGCTTCATGCCTCAACTCATGGTCGTAAGAGCATCGTTCAATGACTTGTTGCTCGTGTCCCCCGACACCCGCTTTTACTGCGGCCGTCAGAGGTACTACATTTGTAACCCGGTGACTAAAAAGTGGTTTCTCATCCCTAGAGAAACCCCTCGTCGAACAAGGACAGGGTTTGCGTTAATATGCAATAAGAACTCTTACGAGGTGGTACTTTTAGACACGATTAGTTTGCTTGATGCAGAAGTCGACAGATATGAACAAACAGTGTGGGTGTTTTGCTCCGAGTCGGGGCAATGGACCAGTTATTTCTTGTTGGTGCCTAGGCGCCCAACAAAGGACTATCCCCTTAGCGCCAATGTCGTTTCGTGCAATGGGATTCTGTATTGGATGGACGGTTTATATAACCTCGACCGCATTGTTGCTTTGGATTTGGTCAATAGTCGGTGTGTCGTCATCTACTTCCCGGACATTGTGCGTGACAACACCACCGCTGACACGCCTGACTCGAGGGTCCACATTGGTGCCGTGAGGGATGAGTTGAGGTTGTTGCACGTTTTGAGAACTCAAAATGGGCCGGGCCCGAAATGCTTTGTCGTGAGGGTTTGGGAATTGGATCCTTGGAATGGCTCGTGGGCTTTGGTTGGGGAGAGGGAGTTGAAGTTTTCGGATGCCGTTAGTGCTGATGGTGAGCGGGATACTGTGGTGGCGGCCGTCTTTCATCCGAAAGATTGTGACTCGATTTTTGTCATGTGCGGAAAGAGTGTTTACGAGTGTGGGGTTTCCAAGGACACGTGTCGCAAGCTCGGTGAGCTTCGGGAATCCGTAGGCGACGAGGGTCTCGCGTCCTTTGTTCTCATGCATCCACCTTGGCCCACGCCAATTCCATTTGGGGTTTAGTTGGGAGCTTGTGTTTAATTTCGTTTCTATTTATTTTCCTTTTATCTTTGCTTATATTTTCTTTAACGTTTCAATCATATTCGGATTAATACACTATGTTATGACAGTTGGATTTTAAAATTGCGCGGTTATTTATTTTGATTATCACATGATGATAGGCTTTTGTTATTTTCCAAATATTTTTTTCGTCCGACTAACCAACGTTTGTAGCTTTAATTCCACATGCCATTTATGATTTTTTTTACTTTTTCGTTGCAAAAATGGTCTCACAACAGTCAAAACTGACGGCCTCACGTGAAGATGTTAGATTGGACCAATTTTGCAATTTTGTAGACCAATTTTGTAATTTTTTTTTTAAATGAGTTATTCAAGTTCGTTTAGAAGAGAAGTCGGATCATTTTGATGTTTAATTCAAAAGTAGAAAACTGACTATTTTGCTTACAAGAATTTTTTGGATGAAGTTTAAATTAGCAATTAAATTTAACAACCAGAAGCACCGAAATATGAAGTTGAAAGTTTATCCATAATGCATTTTGAAAAATAAAGAATAAAAGTTAAGTATTATACTACAACAAAAAATGATCTTACAGATTGATGTGTGGCCGAGGTTATTGTTGGATGTTGCAATGTCAGTGCGGGCATAGGTTATGGCAGTGGTGTCGGGCATACAGGCCATAGGTTTTAACATTTAATATCAAACTGCTCAGCAAAACAAACTCATGGTCCAGAAAACACAATTTTCAATATCAAACTGCTTAGCAAAACAAATTCATGGTCCAGAAAACACAATTTTCAATAAACACCTATCAATCAATTCCAATATAAGGCCTGAAATCCTTAACCTATAGATAAATTGTCCATCAAATACCAATTGCCATACAGAAACAACTAAATCAGTAAGATGCCCGTGTCGCCTTTGATATAAATAAAAATAAAAATAAAAATAAAATGATAAACCTGGGGCTGGCTGCTACCTGCTGGGACTGGGGAGCAACAAGGAAAAATTGTGAACCATACACATCCATCAACAAGTCCACCAACCATTAAATTGGGCAAAAAATGTAAATAAACTATCATAAAAGCAACAATCATATACCAAGTCCATCAACAAGCTCTAATCTAAACATATAAATTACAAAATTCACACAAACTTTAAAGCTTAGATGTCCACCAACCATGAAATAAAATCAAATTACATCAAAGAAACTCAAAGGTATATGATTGAAGAATCATATCTACTTCCTGATACTAATTCAAAGGTATATGATTGAAGAATCATAAACTACCATAAAAGCAACAATCATATCTACTTCCTGATACTAATTCACCTCTAAACATAAACACAAAGTTGAAGAATCATTCATCATACTGAACAAACCAAACTTAATTAAGTTACACTAATCTTCCTTCATCTTGTGCTTCAACTTAGTTGCCCAAATAACACTTTCCAATAGCTTCCCCTGAGGAGCAGATGAAATTGCCAAAAGTTCCTGCAAAACAATGCACAAATCAAAGATTAGAAGCTTTAGGGATTTATAACTCCCTTCTCTCAAATTAATTAAAGCAGCAAAAAATGATATGATTGGTTACCCTTTGTAGGACGGCACAAGCAGATTTCTTACAACGAACCACCTCCTTAAACAAGGATGAGCATATATCTCTTTGAGGGAATCGTCTGAAAAACTCGCATAATCAATCAAAATTTGATTCCTATAATTATGTGGTTTGTTTCATACTATAAACACCAAAAGAAACGCACATACCGCTGGCGGTGGCTGGGGCGCGGCCTGGGAACCTGAGAAAGGGGTGATTTATTGGAAAGGGGCGATCGAGGATTCCAATATTGTACAGTAGCCTCAGGCAATCGTCGCTCAGGTAACCATTGCCGGGGGTTTCAAGGAAGGACCGTTTGATGAATTGGGGCGAACCAGACTGTTGGCCGGACCTGAGGCACACGATCCCCCATTGACTCTTGAACATGTTGATACCCGATTTTTCGTCTGCAGCCGCAGGGGCGGAGCCACCCATGGGCTAGGGTGGGCTCCAGCCCCATGTTAAAAAAAAATAAAATTAATTTACATATTAGATTATTATTAGTAAATAGTCCAAGGTAAATTTCTTGTTAGCCTTTGAGTTAGCCCAACAAGACAACAAAGCCCAAAAAAATTTAAAATCCAGTGTTGGGCTTGTTAGAAGACGTACAACTCTCTTTTCTTCTCTCATAAAAAAAACGACGGGCTCTATTAATCTGTAATATGTAAGTTCCAAAGCCCTCTACTCTCACCCTTGTTCTTTCAAGCCTCTACGAAACGAGACATCTTCCATCTGGCGTCGGCAATTGCGAGATCGGTGTGCGAGTGCGGAGATTGCGAAGAACGGAGGAATCGAGACCTTCGAGCTTCAAGGATCGAGCGGTCCGGTCGGCGCCAACAAGTGAGCGGGACCAACAGTGACTCCGAGCCCCGAGGTAACACGATTGAACCTGGATTTATTTTTGGTTTATTGAGAGTATGAATAGCCGTACTGAATTTATGTTTGGTTTATTGAGAGTATGATTTGAAATGTGGTGTGAGATGTGAAATTTGTGAATTGAAATGTGGTGACTGGTTTTTTCAAATTTTTATGTTTGTATCTTTGTTCTGTAATTTGTTATAGGTTGATTTAGTTTTGGTAATTTTGGTTTGTCTCTGTGTGTATTGTAATAGTGAATTGAAAGTTGAAACCTTAATTGTTTTTCTCCCAATTTGTGGTTTGTTTGTATTGCTATATGTGAATTGAAAGTTGAAACTAATTTTTTTCCTCCCAATTTGTGGTTTGTGGGCATATGGATGTGGCTATATTTGTTGTGTCACAAATTTAAAAGATTTATGTTGAAGTTGAGATGAGAACATGTTTTTAGTTTAATTATATGTGTTAATGCTTGTTGATCATGTACTCAATGCTTTAAATTCTAGTATATTTATTTGATCTAATTTATTTAATTTATTCGACAGGTTAATTCGTCTTGTTTTGACTCCTCATGTGTCTACGGCAACTACAGAGCCACCATTTTCAGCTATGAATCTTGTCATGACAGTTTTTCGTAATAAGATGGAAGAAGATTTTTTGGCGGATCCAATGATTATTTACATTGAAAAAGAGTAAGTCGAAAAGATTAGTAATGATACTATAATCGTCGAATTTGAATATATAAAAATAATTGAAGATCATAGTTTCATTAGCCCCAGGTATATTAAAATCCTAGCTACTATTGTATAGAGACTAATGAACCAATCGAGAATGCCTAATTAGATAGTGGAAATATTTGGCCCTGTGACTTAATAGCTCCCATCCTTCTGTTAAGTGGCCGTCATCTGCAAATATTATGCCCTTTAAAAAAAGCGAACCTCGGCTTCGGGTTCCAGTTCGGAATCGAAACAGCCGGTTCAAAATGTATAAACTATAAAGTATTGTACATGAACCGAATTGGTCAAAACCATAGGCCAGTTCAAGACCCATGGTCAACGGGCTGGTTTGTGTCGGTTCGGCCCGAACCGACAAGTTGGATCGGCCTATGACCATGTCTACTCGGTTCCAATAATAGCTACAATAATATGCAGCCCCGAGTCAAAAAAATTTCTGGCTACGCCCCTGTGCAGCCGTACATCCCGTACAGCAACTGGACGCCGTTGCCGTTGCCGTTGCCGCCGGCGCCGGCGCCGACGCTCCTCAGGGACAAGTACATGGACGCGTAGCCTTGGCTCCGGGCATCGGGGTCAAAGCCGTTGGGGTAGAACAAGATAGCCCAGCGGTGGCCTCCCGCCGTGAATTCAGGGCTCTCGACGGCCTGGCCTGCGCCCAGCCGTGCTTTGTGACGGGAGTAGTCTTTCAGCACCCACACGTAGGAACTCTTGTGCAGCTTTCCGACTTCTTCTTCCATCACAGATTGCGTTCAAATTTTTCGTCTCCGGCACAAAATATATTGGGTGAAGAATATTGTACGATGTATCCGAATTGTTCTGGGCATAGGTTTCCGACAGGGGTTGGATTTCGCTATTAATGTTGGTCAACCTAAGAATTATGGCATGGGCCGAGTTAGGGGACTATTGCCTTGGTCAGGCCCACCCAGTAGTTGGCCTTACTTTCTTCAAACCAATCTCTGTTTCACAATGCAATTATGCAAACATCAATTTCTCTACCACCAAGAAAGTTAGATTTTTTTTTTTAAACAGTTACATGAATTCTAATTAAACAGTTTGTTCACCACTATTTTCATATGTTCATTTTTAACCTGAATCTTATTTTTCTTCCCAACCACTTTGACAAGCAGGTCAATGTTTGGTGAACCCCAAGCCCAAGCATAAGATTCCTTGACAACCGACCGAAAATGGTGATGGATGCTTAGATTTGCTTCCAGATTATCGGTTTAGAGTCTGATGGTTTGATGCATAATTATGATAATTATTTCTCTGTGTTATTGGGTTTTGCCGGTCGTTGTAGTGTATATTGTTGCCATATAGGGGTATTGCTCAACATGATTGGAGGCACATCTCCTACATGTAGGATTTAACTCCCTATTTGTCAAGAATAGGACGAGTGATGAAAGAACTTTGCTGCGTTTTTGTGTTCTCATCATCGTATTATTCTAATTTGAATAATTAATGTATATGGAAATTGTTTATTGGGTTGTACCAACTAAATGAGCAATGTCAATAGTGGTGTGGATTAATACTGCTATGAATGATATAGATAAATAGATTTTGTTGTCACTTCAATGCCAAAAAGANAAAAAAAAAGAAAAAAGGAAAAAAAAAAAGAAAGAAAGAAAGAAATAAAGAATTATGGACATGGTTAATAACTTAATAGTGATGTATGCACAAAATCTTAGAAAGAAACTTGAATTTGAAATACAATAGATTTGCGTTTACCTGAAATATATAAAGGTTTGCGTTTACCTGAAATATAAATTAGAATTCCGCTCTAAATTTTTAAAATTACTAAACATGGTAATCTAGTTTGAAAATTTTAAAAAAATTCCGCCTTTACAAATTAATTAATCAATTTATGGTATAAAATTTCCAAAATTAAGAAATCTGATTTTGGTATAATGGGCGATTTTATTTGAGGTATATGATGACCATTTTTACTTTTGGTAGGAAATATGTTGCTTATTAATAAATGTCCAAATTTAAGATATAAAGTGGACGATTTTATTTTAGTATAAAATGTCTTTAAACAGTATGAATTTTATTTGGTATAGATAGAAGTGTATTTGAAAAATGTGAAAACAAAATAAGTAGTATTAAATTAATTTGGTGTGGTATGAAAGTCGAATTTTAGGTTTACTTGTTATAAAATTAAGGTTATGATTTTCAAATTTTCAAATTAAGGTGATATGAGTTCGGATGAGCTCATATGAGCCTGTGTTGCACGGGCATGCAACTAGTCGCTCTCGAGCAAATCAGCTCATATGAGCCTGTGTTGCACGGGCATGCAACTAGTCGCTCTCGAGCAAATCAAGTGGACGATTTAGCGGAGTAAAATACTGTGAATTTATATTTTTATTAATGAATTTAATCGTTCCCAAAAAAAATAAAAAATAAAATAACTTTAGATTTAAAGTAAACAAAAGGTGGGATAGTATGTTGTATGCATCTCCATTGTTCTCCCTAAAAAAAAAGCTTTTACAGAATAGTAACAGTGAGAGAAAAGCGCAATCATATCCACATAGGAGCCAGAAATTCCTCAAACATGAAATAGTGACGCAACCCAATCTTCTCAAAGAGGTAAACTGGCGTCACACAGTATCCGAATATCATGGACATCACCCCGCTGTTAAGAGAAGAGAAAAACTCGATTGGTATGAAAATATCCATAGCTAAAATATTTAATACACAAACATAACATGTTAAAGAGACAACCTTACAATACTCTCACGATTTTCTCCTGCGGATGCACGATCAAAGTAGGTCTCACCTTTGATAAGAATCATTCGTTCTTCAACCTTCTCTGGAGTACGAATTACTCGATGTTCAGTACCCCTTGAAAGAGTTTTCAATGCTCCAAAAATGCATAGAACCTGTAAAAATAAGAAATGATTTTGGTTTATATGATATTTTCTATCATGCGTTGGAGAGCCGAAAGAACGGCATTAAACATACCTCAAATTCATCCATTACAGATTCATCAGCTTCCTCCTTCAGCCAATTGACAACAATATCATTCTCCAAGATTTGCCTAACCTTCTCATTAAAACAATAAGCATCATCGCTAGTAAAGCTTTCCTTTTTAAGAATTGCAAGAATGTCCCTAAAAAGGTTCATAAGGGGATCTTCATCTTTCAGTTTGCCTTGTAGTCTGGAATACATCATCATATGACGTGGACTCTACAAACAAGTGCAATTTTTCAGCAATAAATTCAGATCCGTTGTGATGCCGCTCTAAATAGTAATTAGGTAAAAATATTATCTGACTAAGCTGAATTTATTGGAGAACAGAAGGTAAGAAGGAAAATCATAAGAATTCATAACAAGAACTCCAAAAATGATGGCAGGAGACTGGTCTGAATAACCAGCACTTATTTACTATTTAAACTGATAAACAGGTGAACAAACATTATCAAAATGACATACTAACCGACAACTTGTAATGATCAATGAGTGGACACAAAGATACTAACATTTGCATATTGCAGACAAAGTTTTAACTATGGAAAAACAAAAATTACACAATTGACATTCAAGCGTGTCAAGAGGTAGGCAGTTTTCTTTCAAATTTGTATCCAGAATAGTCCTTCATTCAAAACACTATCAATAGGATAGGATTATCTTTCAAAAATTGAAGAAGACTTAAAAGTTGCCTGCCTGATCGTTCTGACATCATTATTCCGATCAAAACTTAAATCGCCATTCAACAGAGGACGCTTACTAACATTCCATAAAATAATTGCAGTTGTTTTTAATGCGCTAACATAAGTTAATTAGGGTACCACTAACAAGCGGAAATGAAAAGAAGACATACCATGAGAGTCTCTTGGATAGGAGTTTCACCAACCTGCAAAAAGAATCATTTAAATATGTAAAGCAGCAGCAAAAGCAACAGACAATCGACAAGAAAAATAATCCATACGGGTTTCATCATTACAATATTATCTAAGCCAAAGGTGCGAAAGTCATCATCTTCGTAGTCTTCAGAAGTGTCGATGTCATCTTCGTAGTCTTCAGAAGTGTCGATGTCATCTTCATAGACTTCATCATCGTCAATGGCATCCAAATTATGAACTTTTTTGTACAAAACCCCACCCACTTCGTCAGCGGTGTCAATGAGATCAATAGACCTCTTCAAAGACTTTACAACACCAAAATTCACGACCTCATCCTCTGCATCCATCATCTCTGTTTCCATCTCTTTCCCTTTTGACAAATTTAAGGTCAAAATAGATGGATACTGCTCAGCAAAACAAATTGAATTGGGCAACAAAGAAAATTTGTGAACCATACACATCCATCAACCATTAAAAAATGTAAATAAACTACCATAAAGGCAACAACCAATTACCAAGTCCATCAACAAGCTCGAATCTAACCATAAAAAACACAAATTCACACAAAACTTTAAAGCTTAGATGTCCACCAACCATGAAATAAAATCAAATTACATCAAAGAAATTCAAAGGCACCGCCCAAATAATCAAAGCCAAAAAGTTCATCCATCATTACCTGAATGTATTGCCGGAATGAAGCCGCCTCGCCCCCGGCGGTAGGGTTTTTTTGCCTTTGGGAATTTAGGATTTGGGAGGAGTTGGGAGAAATTACAGTTTTAATTAATTTTGTTTTACATATACTAATTATTATTTAATTGGGTTACTTAACAAAAAATGTACCGAACAAAAATAAATAAGTGGGAGCAAATATCTATTTTCACTTAATTTAATGTTATTCTTTTACTAGGTTTAAAATTGGCATATTTTAATGATGTTATTTGTATAAATATATAATTTTTTTAATTTATGGTTTATAAAAATTAAATTAACACGTAAAAAGATTATTAAATATTATTTCTAGAATAAACAATACTAAAATAATTGACTAGATTGAGTTTTTTTAGTCATATTATTTTATAGTTGTTGTATAAGAAAAATCATGTGTACCCTAAAACTGCCCATCAAGCTTAAGCGGAACAGATAATAAAGTCCTGGCTCAAACTTAAGCGAAAAATCATGTGTATCCTAAAACTGCCCATCAAGCTCGACTCGAGTTCGGTCAAACTCGAGCTCGAGTCGAGGTTTGACTCGAGCGCTCGCGAGCCACTCGGTTCGTTTACAGTCCTACACCCAACAACTCGTCACAATGACCAAGGAGGAAGTGCTGAGGATGCTAGCGGATGCTCGAGCTGTAGGGCGAGCACAGATACAGGCCCAACAGGTCTCTCACGGTCTCACCCGATCACTGCGGCAAATACAGCTACCCAGGTGACTGGACAAGAAACAGAGTTAGAGGAATCCAACAGCTGGACGATTGAGGTCGAGAAGGATTGAGTCCTGGAAAAGATGGTCGAGCAAATTCAGCAACTTTAGGCAAAGGTCGAATGAAAGAATGTGGGGCGAGCGTGAGGTCATCCTTTCTCTCGCGATATTCTGGAGACGGATCTACCTACAAACTTCAAAGAGGCCAGTCTCAGTTACGACGGGTCTTCATACCCGACTAGACATTTGCGTTGTTTTTAGAACATGTCGATCTTGTTGGGATACTCTGATGCGGTGAGCTGCCGAGCTTTCTTTGCAACCCTAAGGGGAGAAGAATAAGATTGGTTCCACCTGCTCCCCCCGAGGTCGATTATGGATTTTGAGGGGTTTTCGAGCTCTTTCCTTAACTAGTATGCCAGCGTTATAGCTCCGGAGAAAATCTACTTTTTGATGGGCATGAGACATGAAGAACGGGAGATGTTGAGAGGTTATGTCGACCGTTAATAGGGCTTGCATTGCGATCACTTTGACCTGAGATGAAATTAAGGTAGGAGGTCTCGTAAGAAGTCTGAGGGCGGGGGCATGTAGGAGCTCATTGGCCAAGAAGGGCGCTATTTATAAAATAATAATTTCTAAGTTCTAGCTTGATAATAATAAATTCTATAAGATAATCAATTCTAACTTATAAGATAATAATTTCTAAGTTCTAACATAATAATGATAAAAAATTTCATAAGATAATCATTCTAATTTATAACATAATAATTTCTAAGTTCTAACACAATAATTATAATAAATTCTATAAGATAATCGATTCTAATTTATAACATAATAATTTCTAAATTTTAACATAATTTATATAATAAACAAAAATTTGATCACTAATAAATAAAAATAAATAAACGGTTGGTCGACCGCCAAAACCAGCTGGAACGTGGTCGGCCGGCCAGCGATCGCGGTCAGACACAGCGACGGTCGGTCGATTTGGCTGGCCGACCACCGGACTGGCTGGTTTTGCCGGCCGGCCGACAGCGGTAGGATCGATAATGTCGGCTGGCCGTGTTTTTTTTTTAAAAAAAAAATAAAAAATGTCAGGGACAAAACGATTCAAAGAGAGGCGGTACGCAGTAAAAAGAGGGCGGCGATAACAATTTTTTTTTTTTTTGTAACAATCTGTTGCACAGTTAGGAAACACCATTTATTCTTTTTAAATTTCATTAATATTTCTTTTGTATTTTGGTTAAATAATTTCAGATCAAATATTTTGGTATCAATTTCATAAAAAATATCATGTATATCTCATAAAGGTGTTAATGAGAGTAAATCAATTATGTTTTCTCTTTAAAATATGTTTATCTCTTAGTATATAGATAAGTGTNATATTTTTAATGTTATGAAATAATTTAAATACAAAAATACCTTTTAGAAAGTGGTAGATCATAATTCATAAATGTTCCCGTGAATTTATTTACTATATAATTAGGCAACTTACTTTTTATATTTAGTAAGTTTTAGAAGTGGGTCCCATATACTTTCTATTTTTGGAAAGTTGACTTCTAACATGTCATGTGCACACTCTTTTTGTTTGTTTATGTTTAAAACAAGTTATTCATAACCGTTCGTTCAATCGAGTTTGTATTATTACATTGCTTTTTTTTTACATTACAATGATAAAGTATGTCTTTTTAAAAATAAGTTATCGCATTTTATTGTACAATATTTAGTCATGATATTTTTAATTTCTTAAATATTTGAGTGCGGTTCTCAATTTTTACACAATGATCTATTGGTATTCATTACAATTTAAAAATATATTTTATGTTGAAAATTGTTGATAATTCAAATTTAAATTATGTCATCCGGTTGAACTACAATGATGTATTTTATTTGAAATTCCTGCACAAATAATAATAATAATAATAATAATAATAATATTAATAATAATAATAATAATAATAAAAATAAAG